CATAGCATTCTAACCAGCGTTTTACTAGCTAGCCAGCTAATTAACCCAGTTAATTCATTAAGTTAATTTAGAAATCTGATCATCTCAAATTAATTTGTTTAAAAAAAGGCCACATTCAAAAAGACAAAGACTTTTTGTTAAAGAGAATTTCACTGTTAGAAAGGAAAAGAACAATCAGTGAAATTAGGATTTTTTTCTCCATACATGACTTTAAGACAAACAGCAACATTTTGAACTCATTCACTAATTTTCTTTTCCCTCCTCCCTCCCCACCTCCAGGCTACAGCACAGGTCACTCTCGCTGCTCCAGCCTGAACGACCTCAGTCACCACAGAAACGCCTCCTCCAGCAGCAGCGCCTCCTGCGGGGTCGCTCACTCCTCTCAGCCACCTCCCTCCACTCCCATCAATCCTCTACGACAAGCAGCTCCTACCAAGCCGGAGAGACCTCCTCCCCCCTCTGCAGCAGCCATTCTGTCCAACAGGTCCTCCAGGTAGGTTCACACTCCTGCCTCCACATGTTCTCTGAGTAGCTGATCTCACATCAGGCGTGTCAGGACTGTGATACCGATGAAAGGAAATGCTTGAATCCCAGGCATGTGCAAACATACATGCCTGGGATTCTTCAGAAATTCACACCGCTGTGGGACTAGAAGAAAAATGTGAATTTTTCACCTGGTATGTGAACAAATATAGACAGAATCTCCATTATAAATATATTTCTTCCTATTAAACCTACAACAAGCTAGCCATGCTTGGAGACCTTACTGAATAAAGCCTTTTATCATGATTTCCAGCTGGAAAGAAATCAGAAATTACTTCACCGGAGCAGCTGGTGCTTCTCATCATTCTGGGGAGGGCCAAGAAGTCAAACTATTATTTCATAGTTCTGCACTGAGAAAGAATATAGCAAAACATCTCAGTCAGCTGTTAATCATCCTTAAAGGAAAAGTCCTGTCAGCAAGGAATGATCAGTTGATTATTTATAGCTAAAACTAATACGTTCAGCTAATGTTTATATCCCATATGTGACAGTTTAATGTTTGGTTCTGATCGACCTGCTGATTTCCAGGAGGAAGAAGGATGCCGTGGAGAGTCGGCACAGCTGCGTGGACGACACGCGCATCGATGCCGACGACATCGTGGAGAAGATTATTCAGAGCCAGAATTTCTCTGAGGGCAGCAGCGATGAAGGTTCGGGTCAAACAAAAACAAAGCAGCGATTTCTCTAAATTTATGCGCAGTGGAAAAGTTAGTTTCTTATGGAGCCCCTAAAGGGACAATGAAGAGAAATAAAAAAATTATTATTTCTCGTGCGCACCAGATACTTTCTCGTGCGCTCCACTTAGTTTCTCGTGCGCACCTGATACTTTCTCGTGCACTCTACTTAGTTTCTCGTGAGCACCAGTTACTTTCTCGTGCACTCTACTTAGTTTCTTGTGCGCACCAGATACTTTCTCGTGCACTCTACTTAG